TAGTCGGCCGAAAGAATGTACGTCGGTAGACGACGGATGTCCGAAGAACCATAAAGTCTGTCAAACGACAGAGATTGTAAGGACGGTAATTGGATGACAGTGTTGGCGGGACTATAGGTGGCGGACTAGCGAAAAGGCCTGCGGTGTTTCGGCAGACTGTGAATTCTTGATGGCGACGGCAAACTATGAAAGTCTACGAAGCATACGGCGAGCAAGCGGGTGTGCCGGCGCAGCAATGAACTTGGTAGAAGTCCCGGCGGCAGTCGTGGGATCGGGTGGAAGTCCGGCGGCGAATCGCCGTCGAACTGGTGGAAGTCCGGCGGAGGTCGGAGGATGGGTGGAAGTCCGGAGGCGATCGACGACTGGTGGAAGTCACGGCGGTCGGAAGAACTCCGGCGGAAGTTCGGCTGTGCGCTGGCGACTTGGCGGAAGTTCGTCGGTAGTCCGATGGATTGCTGAAGTCCGTCGGTGGTCGGGAAGAATTCGCTGGTCGTCGCGGGAAATCAGGCGATGTTGAGAGGAATACTAGCGTGGTTGGCAGGAACTTGGTGGTGGTCGGCGAACTTCGCGGGTCGGTAGCGTCCCGTGAAGTCGGGATCGCCGATTGGCGGCAAGAGCAGCTCCAAATTCTCCCTTCCTTCTCTCTTTTCCCCCTCATCATGAGAAGGAGTGGGGGGCTATTTATAGGTTTTTTTAGAGTAGCAGTGACTTTGTAAATATATAAGGATGATTAAGGGTAAGTTGGGAGTGGTTGGTATGGCGGCGATTATTTGAATCCTTTGATCATGAACCGTATTTGATGACATTTCAATGGTCTTAGTGATGTCAGAATTCAGTGATCTTGGGCTCGTTGGAATTTTGTCCTCGTCGATCCGTTCGATTTGATTATAAACTCGCCAAAATCGGAGATCGTTTGGAACTCAATTGTGGTTTCAAAACCTGGTTCGAACCTTCCAACAGCGCTTTAGGTCTTTGATTTGGACTCATTTGGGCTCGGATTGAGTCAAATTTGGTGTCGTTGGGTTCGTATTTTCGAGACGCTCAGATTGATTGTAAGTTTGCTGAAATCGAAGTTCAGGAACTCCCGGATTTAATTTTTGAAGTTTCCAACTAGCTTTTTGCCTCGAGATTCGTGCCCGATCAAGATAATTTTTGCATGACGTATCAATATTATGTCAACTACAGTGGAATTTCTTGCCATTGGCAATGAGGTAATTTGTCTCGAACATTTTAAAAGTTTATTCATAATATTCTTAGCTCGATATGTGACACAAAGAGAATAATATCTTTGTATGTATATAACTATAACAAATATTTGTATATATAATAAAACAATTCAAATAAATCAATTTTAAAGATATAAATAAGGGCAAATCAAAACAAATCATTTTTTAATCATAGTAAAATAATCTTTAAACTATTGTTAAACCATGATCTAAACATCATCAACCTATGATCAAAATATTTTTGGACCATAATCAATATATCTTTGAACCATCTTTGAATCTTCTTCAAAGCATAATAAAAAATGTCAATCAAACATTGTTTAATTCATATTTAAACATTATTAAAACATGGTTTAAAAGTGCAAATAGGCTTTAGAGATATTTTGGATCGAAAATAGTTTAATTAAGTTTGAAGTGGCTCAACTATGGTTTAAGAATGGCTTGACCATGATTCGAAAATAGTTGATCATAATTCAAAAATGATTCGAATATATTGCACAATTATACAAAGAGAGTTTTCGTAATAACTCCAACTCATAACTCTCGAGATAGTATCCACTTTGGCCTAAGTGCCTCACGGTTTTATCCTATTTGTGTAACTTTTCAGGAGTTCATCCATCCCAGGATTTTTGTGGGACGAGAACACTTAACTGTGTAATTTATTAAATGAAATTTTGACCATTACACAAAAAAGGTGTCTATATGTTTAAGATTTTAGCTTCTTTTACTTAAAAAGATTTTATAATCTTTCCCAATTAAGTAATTAACAATTTTGTCAGTATCTTTATTCCAAAATCATCCATCAGGCATATAGAATTTTAGAGGTGACCCCTACAAGTTCAAGTGGTGACTCTCGCAAAGTATTTTGTCCCATATAGAGTTCAAGAGGTGGCTCCTATGGCTTAACACTTTATTTTGTATTACACCTAATCTGCATCTTTCGATTGGTGTGTTACTATGATACAATTTGTAATAGCCCAAACTCTTAATTATCAAGATATTGTTCACTTTGACCTAAGGGCCTCACAATTTTGTCATATTTGTATAACTTCCCATAAGATCACCCATCATATGATTTTTCTGGGATGAACACACTAACTGCGAAGTTTCTTGAATAAAATTTCGACCGTTGCACCAAAAGACGCCTATATGTTTAAGAGTTTATCTTCTTTTATTTGAGAGGTTTTATAGTTTTGATTGATATTTATAAAACTGATATTATTTTGATCAAAATGTACTACCAAATATATATTTTCCATAAATAAAATAATGGTTATAAATTTATAATTAGGAATATTATAAGGCATTTAAAGTTAAATAAAGGTTGAGAAAATTGAAGAGAATCTTAAAAATTAAAGGTTCGATGGCTCGGGTAAATCTATTTGCATAATAATAATATAACAATTATGTAAACATATAAAATTTTGACTAAAAAATAAATATTATTCATATATTCTATAATTTTATATTTAAACACAATCAATCTTTAAATTTAATTCACATTTAATATAAATTTATTTAACATATAATTTTATAAATTTAATAGAAATTATTACAACTTTATATTATATGCAAATCATATTACCTAATTAGTATATATTAATATCCTAATTAATTATTAATTAATTAATTATTATCTTAGTAAAATACAAAACTTAATTTATTTATTTTATTGATCCTAAGTATATTAATTAAAATTAAATAAAATTAAAAACCTGATAGATTAATATTAACATTAATTATCAAGATTAATTTATTTGTATTAAATTTGCATAAGTGATCTTTGGCCTATCGTTATTTTTTTCATTGTCACCATTTTTTCGTTGTTGCTTTCGCGTGCTTTGTGTGAAGTAGCTTTTTAAACTGAGTCAGGAAATTTCTTTGCTTTCTTCACCAAGGTCTAAGGTTTGTTGTTTTTGTTTCGTTTGGGGCATCTTTCTTATTATTTTCTGAAACAACATTATAGTACAAAAATTTTCAGTTCAAGAAAAATTTTTGCACTAAAAAGTTGCTTCAAAAATTAGTAAGAAAGCCATCACAATCAAATCCTCCACCTTTTGCATCTCTTTGTTATTGCTGAGCTTTGTGTGAGGTTGAGTTTTGAAAGAGTCGAAGCTTCTCCATCTTCGATGATAGCGTTGTACTGTTCATGTTAGATCGGAAGTCATTGCTGGAGCTCGCCACGAAGGTATCGATATTTCTCCTCTTTCACGTGCTTTTTACGCTAAATCCTTAAATTTGCAAAAATAATCAGATTTACGAAATCTGAGATTTAGGTACGAAATCTGATATTTAGGGCCAAAATGTCAAAATCCCTGTTGTGAAGCGGGGCTTAGACTTACCATGAGCTTTAACTTCGCATTTTTGGCAAACCCCATATGGCCCATCATCTAAAAATAGAAATTAATTTAATTTAGGGTTGATTTAGATGCTTTCTCTTGCGATTTGGTGATGCTTTATGGTTACTCTCCCTTGGATGTCCTAGGTGTGCCGCCTATCATTGCCAATATGGTTAATTACGAGGATTTTATTGATGTGCATATCTCTATTATATCGAAGGATGATCTAATATTCATTTAGCTTTAAATTTGAAGGAATATGATGTGGATCATTCAGATTAGCTAGAAGGTTGTTCTTCTTTGGATAGCCAGAGTGATGTGAATGACTTGGCTGAATCTACGAATGATTTGTTTAATTTGAAGGTGATTCATATTGAAGATGATGATTCCATGCATGGTGGTGAGAAGCCCAGTAGGCGGAAAACAAAAAATAAAGCTAACAAAAAGTAATTCTTTGATTGTAGTCGGTTTGTTTATGGTTCTGCTAATCATGTTGATGCTTGGTTGGCGTTGGTTCATGGTTCGTTTCTTTTGGCTTTTCTTCTCAACACTTCTTTATAGGTTGCTCTTGATTGATTTGATGTTACACTTGGTCATGTCCTGTTGTTTTTTGTTTGTGGTTGTTGTGGTTTTATTTTTATTTGTTTGCTTTTTGTATTAGATTAGAACAATTACTCTTAGGTTTTATTTTAATTGATGTTTTATTATGAGCTGTTGTTCTATTCTAGGCTTGTAATTTATTTTTAAATTAACTCGTAGTCTCATTTGGTGGGTTTTATAAAAAAAAAGAAATTAATTTAATTTAGCTAATTAATATTATATAAAATATTAATAATGAATTAGTTTAATTAAATAATTAGTGATATAATTAGTAGTATATTAAATAAATAATTATAATTTAATTAAATAATTAATAAATATAATTAGCTCAACTAAATTATGAGACAATTAATAATTAAAACTATTAAAAATACTTAAATAATTAATTAAGTTATTAGTAGTATTAGGTAAATAATTTATTATTTTAAAAAATGATTAAATAATTAATTAAATAACAATCAATGTAATTAATATTAATTACTTATTAAATTTTTGATAATTAGTACTACAATCACTAATTAAATTATTAGTTGCATTATTTGATAATTAAATAATTTTCTAATTATATTATTTATCATTATAATTTATTAATAATAATGAAAATACAATTAATAAATACTTCATATTTAGCATATAAATTAAATTAAAAACATATTAAATTTAAATTTTAAATAAATTAACTGCATTAAAACTTGGATTACGTTTTTAACAACCAATGTTGCCAAATAATTTTAAAAATTTAACTTTCTCAAAATTTACTAAATCTAAATTTACAAAATTAACTAAAATTAAATCCTACGTGTTGCCAAACCGCCCCTTTTTAGGGTTTAGACCTTTCGGAACTTCAACATACTCAACTTTTATTTATTTTACATCATTGATTACCGCTTCTCTGTCCACAGTGTAGTTCCATCTCGCGGGAGGCGGGACCTTATTTCTCGATGGGAAAATCCAGAAGAAAGACAAACGTTGATGCATCTCCTCTATCTTCAGTAGATTTTAATGATATATTCGACTGTCTGAGTTTCACTATTTTTCCTAAGTGCCAGTTGCTTCTGCGCAGGTTGCAGAAGCTACGGTGCCGCTTCCAGCACCAACGAAGGCGGCGAAAAATGGTGTAGTCTTTTATTTTTCAATCATTCCTTCATATGTTTTGGTTTGTTTATTTTTTGTTTAGATAATTCAATTATTCCATTTGTTCTTTGTTCAGACAAGAGGCGTGTAGAGGAAGCACCGGAGGACAGGGCAAGCTCCAAAAAGAAGAAAATTGAAACAGAGCAGGTGGATCTGAGTAAGAAAAAGGTCAAGAAAATGAAGAAGTCTTTCACTGAATCCCCAGGAGAAAAGAAAGATGAAGGCAGAAGTTCAGATTTTGAATATGGGGTAAATATTACTTGATTTTGTTAAAGAACAACATAGCTTAGTAGTCATTATTTATAGCCCAACTTGCCCTACCAATGAGTCCAAAAATAGCGTAGGAGTTCACATATTTTTATATTTCCTATGACCATGTTCAAACTAGCTAGTATGTAGATATATGACGTTTGATGACTTGTAATCACTCAAGGAGTCTAGAAACTTATGTTGATAATTAAATCGCTTATTAGATGCATGTCACTTCAACTTGATATTCATTTTTAGTTTCCCATGTTATGAAATGTGAGTGGTTGACATAGTTCCTCATATATGCATGCTTGACTTAATCCAAATTGTAAAATTATGTTACTTGAAGAAATTGATTGAAGCATATTGTGTAGTCTAATTATGTTTTTTGAGTAATTAGAGAAGAATGACTGGTTAGAGTGTTTTACGAAAAGGTTATGCATCCCAAAAGGCTAATCAAACTATTACAACAACAACATCAACAATAACATCAAGCCTTTATCCCACTTCGTGGGGTTAGGCCTAACCGGGACAGCAGCAGCTTGATGTTTTATGTGACCAAACCATCTAAGTCGACTCTCGCTAATCTTATATGCCATTGAAGCCACTCTAACCTTTTCACATTCTGTCTTTAAGTGTAAAGCCACTCATACACTTAAGCATCCTCATCTCTGCAACACTTAACTTAATTTTATTCTTCTCTTTTAATGACTAATTGAACTATTAGTATATAAAAAGCTAGTATTATGGAATGCCAAATTTTATTGATTTATTTCTCTATTTTTCTTTGGTCTTCTCTCAATAATAAAGATAAAGAATATTGAGAAAAGACCATGGAAAGCATAACTAGAGATTCTCTATCCACACTAACTAACCAAAATACTTGACACGAACTCTAAAATGACCGAAAGAGCATAACATAATGTTAGGGGAGCTCCTACTTGAACAATTTTTATATGGGAATTCTGTAATAGCGTGTTGAAGAAGGAACAATATGCAAATGTTGTAAAAGTGATGTACAGACGTCCAAGATCCAATTACACCAAAGTAATTAACCTCATAATATTTAAAAATATGAAGGCTGACTTTAGAAGTTTAGTAAATTTAAAAAATTACTAAAATTAAATCATTTTTTTAACTAAAATTAAATACTACATGTTGCCAAACCGCCCCTTTAGGGTTTAGACCTTATAGAACTTTTATTAAAATAAACCCTCCAATACCGTAGAATGTTGCTTTCCTCTCTTCACTATTCTCTCCCATGGATCCTAGTGCCTAAGAATTCCATGTCCAAGCTGCATAATAGTATTGATAGACAATAATGAAATATTTATTTATTTCCCATCATTGATTACCACTTATCTGTCCACAGTGTAGTTCCATCTCACTTGATCTTATTTCTCGATGGGAAAATCCAAAAGAAAGGCAAACGTTGATGCACATTCTCTATCTTTATTAGATTTCAATTATATATTCGACAGTCTGAGTTTCACTCTTTTTCCTAAGTACCAGTTGCTTATGCGCAGGTTGCAGAAGCTACGGTCTGGCTTCCACCAACGAAGGCGGCAAAAAATGGTGTAGTCTTTTATTATTCAATCATTCCTTCATATGTTTTGGTTTGTTTATTTTTTGTTTAGCTAATTTAATTATTCCATTTGTTCTTTGTTCAGATAAGAGGGGTGTAGAGGAAGCACCGGAGGACCGGGCAAGCTCCAAAAAGCATACAATTGAAACAGAGCAAGTGGATCAAAATAAGAAAAAGGTCAAGAAACGGAAGAAGACTTTGAGTGAATCCCTAGGAGAAAAGAAAGATGAAGGCAAAAGTTCAGATTTTGAATATGGGGTAAATATTACTTGATTCTATTACAGATCAACATACGCTTAGTAGTCATTATTTATAGCCCAACTTACCCTACCAATGAGTCCAAAAATAGCATAGGAGTTATGTCACATATTTTTATACTTCCTATGACCATGTTCAAACTAGTTAGTATTTAGATATATGACGTTCGATGACTTGTAATCACTCAAGGAGTTTAGAAATTTATGTTCAATCCCATGATAATTAAATCGCTTACCAGATGCATGTCACTTCAACTTGATATTCGTTTTTAGTTTCCCATATTATGAAATGTTAGTGGTCGACGTAGTTCCTGATATATGCATGTTTGACTTAATCAAAATTGTAAAACTATGTTACTTGAAGAAATTGATTGAAGCATATTGTGTAGTCTAATTATGTTTTTTGAGTAATTAGAGAAGAACGACTGGTTAGAATGTTTTACGAAAAAGCTATGCATCCCAAAAGGCTAATCAAACTATTACAACAACAACATCAACAATAACATCAAGCCTTTATTCCACTTCATGGGGTTAGTCCTAACTGGGACAGTTGAAGACTGATGCTTTATGTGACCAAATCATCTAAGGAAACTCTCGCTAATCTTATCTGCCATTGGAGCCACTCTAACCTTTTCACATATTTACTCATGTCACATTGTCTTTAAGTGTAAAGCCACTCATACACTTAAGCATCCTCATTTCTGCAACACTTAACTTAATTTTATGCTTCTCTTTTAATGACTAATTGAACTACTAGTATATAAAAAGCTAGTATTATGAAATGCCAAATTTTATTGATTTATTTCTCTATCATGCTTTGGTCTTCTCTCAATAATAAAGATAAAGAATATTGATAAAAGACCATGGAAAGCATAACTAGAGATTCTCTATCCACACCAACTAAACAAAATAATTGACATGAACTCTAAAATGACCGAAAGAGCATAACACAGTGTTAGGGGAGCTCCTACTTGAATAATTTTTATATGGGAATTCTGTAATAGCGTATTGAAGAAGGAACAATAGGCAAATGTTGTAAAAGTGATATACAGACATCCAAGAACCAATTACACCAAATTAACCTCATAATATTTAAAAATATGAAGGCTGACTTTAGAAGTTTAGTAAATGTAAAAAAATTACTAAAATTAAATCTTTTTTTTTAAACTAAAATTAAATCCTACATGTTGCCAAACCGCCCCTTTAGGGTTTAGACCTTTTAGAACTTTTATTAAAATAAACCCTCCAATATCGTAGAATGTTGCTTTCCTCTCTTCACTATTCTCTCCCATGGATTCTGGTGCCTAAGAATTCCATGTCCAAGCTGCAAAATAGTATTGATAGACAGTAATGAAATATTTATTTATTTCCCATCATTGATTACCACTTCTTTGTCCACAGTGTAGTTCCATCTCACTGGACCTTATTTCTTGATGGGAAAATCCAAAAGAAAGGCAAACGTTGATGCACCTTCTCTATCTTTATTAGATTTCAATTATATATTCGACAACCTAAGTTTCACTCTTTTTCCTAAGTACCAGTTGCTTCTACGCAGGTTGCAGAAGCTACGGTCTCGCTTCCACCAACGAAGGAGGCAAAAAATGGTGTAGTATTTTATTATTCAATCATTCTTTCATATGTTTTGGTTTGTTTATTTTTTGTTTAGCTAATTTAATTATTCCATTTGTTCTTTGTTTAGACAAGAGGCATGTCGAGGAAGCACCGGAGGACCAGGCAAGCTCCAAAAAGCATACAATTGAAACAGAGCAAGTGGATCAAAATAAGAAAAAGGTCAAGAAACTGAAGAAGACTTTAAATGAATCCCTAGGAGAAAAGAAAGATGAAGGCAAAAGTTCAGATTTTGAATATGGGGTAAATATTACTTGATTTTGTTACAGAACAACATACGCTTAGTAGTCATTGTTTATAGCCCAACTTGCCCTACCAATGAGTCCAAAAATAGCATAGGAGTTTGTCACATATTTTTATACTTCCTATGACCATGTTCAAACTAGCTAGTATGTAGATATATGACGTTCGATGACTTGTAATCACTCAAGGAGTTTAGAAACTTATGTTAATCCCATGATAGTTAAATCACTTATCAGATGCATGTCAATTCAACTTGATATTTGTTTTTAGTTTCCCATGTTATGAAATGTTAGTGGTCGACATAGTTCCTGATATATGCATGTTTGACTTAACCCAAATTGTAAAACTATGTTACTTGAAAAAATTGATTGAAGCATATTGTGTAGTCTAAGGGGCTGTTTGGTTGCCTGAATTAGGAGTGTAAAGTAAAACAAATACATGTATTTATTAAATTTGATTGTTTGGTTAATTTTGGACGGAAGAAAAGAAAATCCTCACAAGTATTAGGGGTGTATTATAGGACCTGTTTTGCGTGAATTAGAAACACGCTCATTTTGAGCGGGTTTTAAATACGCTTGACGACGCGACGTTGCTGTTCGACAGCGAACTTCGGCTTCATTGCTTCGAAGGAGGTGTAAGATTGCACGAGTGGCTTCTTCGGCTCCTTCCTTCTTGTTAGACTTCGCTCCTTCCACGCGACGACCCTTTCCTGTCCGATCCGAAGTTGCGACCACGACGGGAGCTCGCAAGTTCACATCATCTTCCTGTTCATTTGACCCATTGATCGCAGGAAAGGAACTCTGCTGTTGGTTGTTTTACATATTACAGAAATTGCCATCTCCAACAAATCCATAAAACTGCATCGTGAAAGGGTGATAACCTGATGGTTCAGCCATAACTGTTGGGCTGGCACTGGAGATGTTGGCAGAACATTGCCCAAATAAGATTGAGAGATGATGGAATTTGTGGATGACGGAGAATGTGGAACACCTTGAGGGTGCATAACAAAAGGGCGAAAGGCAGCCACCTGACCACCAGGCACAAAGATGCCTATTCCAAGCGGAGGAGGAAATACAGGAACACTAGAGGCATGTTCTGTCTGGAGGAAATAATAAAAATACAAAATTTAAACAGAGAAAGAAACAATCTTAAATGGTTTTCCTTGGAAGGTATATCAAATTATTAATTGATAAATATCAGAAAAAAAAAATGCCCATTTCATTGAAAGGAATAGATTTCTTACAAAGAAAACAAAAAGAAGGTTTGAAGGTAAATTTCAATTGTGGAAAGAAAAGCATAAATTTGCACAACCAGATCACCACACAGGATGATGCGTCTATTTAATCAAGGATGAAATGCTTTCAGATACACTGTTAAATACTACTGAGGATGAACAGTTATAGATATCCAAGGTAAAGAGCAGAGGCAACAACAAATTCAAATAAAAAAAAGTATTTACTGTTACAAAAAAAAAAAAACCCTATTCTCGGAACGATCTAAATCCATTAGATCTTAAAGGAATATGAACATAACGGAATAGTCATTGTAACATCAACACATGTAGAAAGCAGATTTCTAGGCACGATCAGAAAATAAGAACTGCACTGAGGCTAATAAAGTTCTACGTGATTTCTTTTGTTCGAGGTATATAAAAAGATTTGGCTAGTAAAGTGATAACATAAAAATAACACGAATTAGAAGCCACCATGAATCCCCATAATAAACGTTTACTTATAATTAGAACCTCAGAGGCCACTTGAGTATATATCTTGAGCCGGCCAATGCCAAGGAAGGCTATCAAGACGAAGAGGGAATCCGATAACAAGTTCTGGGATTTTGCAAGGCAGTTCTTCTTTGGCTTGTGGGGTTTCAGACAGATTAGTAATGGCATATCTTAAAACTTAAAATTTTTAATTAACTGTTCATTTGTTTATGGTGCAGCTAACATTACACCAAACAGGGAAGAAGAAAGAGGAAAGATTCTGATAGGTGCTATAAATGAAAACTGCAGATGAAATAATTGTCTCATTTGTGGATTATCACATAGTAAAATTTCCTCTATTTTTTGTTGTATATAATTCTAATTATTTATTATACTCAAAAGTATCATCATTAGTGTTGTTTTATCTATTTTTGAGATAGGAAGAATTAATACTAAATGCATCAAGATGAGTTTCAAAGCTTTGAATTTCAACTGAGATTATTGCTGTGAAATTTAGGATAATTTTATATCTTATAATCTAAAAAAATTTATAATAAGATCGTACAATAAATGAATATACTGATTTATATTTTATAACATCAAATAATACTAATTATTATAAATATATTATTTTTTAAAATATACTAATTGTAATGCTAGAATAAATTATTATAAAAAAATTGCTTTTACTTTACTTTGGATCTATCAAACCAAACAAGGGAAACAGTTCTCCTGCGTTTATTTTGCAGACAACCAAATAGATACAAAGTATTCAGAATGCACTACATTTACTTTACATTGCATTTACTTTACACTGCATTTCTTTTTCAGGCAACCAAACAGCCCCTAAATATGTTTTTTGAGTAATTAAAGAAGAATGACTGGTTAGTGTGTTTTACAAAAAATCCATGCATCCCAAAAGGCTAATCAAACTATTACAACAACAACATCAACAATAACATCAAGCCTTTATTCCACTTCGTGGGTTTAGTCCTAATCAGGACAGTGGAAGATTGATGCTTTATGTGACCAAATCATCTAAGGCGACTTTTGCTAATCTTATATGCCATTGGAGCCACTCTAACCTTTTCACATATATACTCATGTAACATTCCGTCTTTAAGTGTATAGCCACTCATACACTTAAGCATCCTCATCTCTGCAGCACTTAACTTAATTTTATGCTTCTCTTTTAATGACTAATTGAACTATTAGTATATAAAAAGCTAGTATTATGGAATGCCAAATTTTATTAATTTATTTCTCTATCATGCTTTGGTCTTCTCTTAATAATAAAGATAAAGAATATTGAGAAAAGACCTTGGAAAGCATAACTAGAGATTCTCTTTCCACACCAACTAACCAAAATACTTGACACAAACTCTAAAATGACCGAAAGAGCATAACATAGTGTTAGTGAGCTCCTACTTGAACAATTTTTATATGAGAATTATGTAATAGCGTTTTGAAGAAGGAACAATAGGCAAATGTTGTAAAAGTGATGTGCAGACGTCCAAGAACCAATTACACCAATGTAATTAACCACATAATATTTAAAAATATGAAGTTGATTTTAGAAGTTTAGTAAATTTAAAAAATTTACTAAAATTAAATCTTTTTTTTTATAACTAAAATTAAATCCTACATGTTGCCAAACCGCCTGTTTAGGATTTAAACCTTTTAGAACTTTTATTAAAAAATAAACCCTCCAATACCGTAGAATGTTGCTTTCCTCTCTTCACTATTCTCTCCAATGGATCCTGCTGCCTAAGAATTCCATTTCCAAGCTGCGGAATAGTATTGATAGACAGTAATGAAATATTTATTTATTTCCCATCATTGACTACCACTTCTCTGTCCACAGTGTAGTTCCATCTCACTGGACCTTATTTCTTGATGGGAAAATCCAAAAGAAAGGCAAACATTGATGCACTTTCTCTATCTTTATTAGATTTCAATTATATATTTGACAATATGAGTTTCACTCTTTTTCTTAAGTACCGTTGCTTCTGCGCAGGTTGCAGAAGCTTCGGTCTCGCTTCCACCAACGAAGGCGGCAAAAAATGGACCGTTGCTTCTGCGCAGGTTGCAGAAGCTTCGGTCTCGCTTCCACCAACGAAGGCGGCAAAAATTTTTTTTTTTTTTTGTTTAGATAATTTAATTATTCTATTTGTTCTTTGTTCAGACAAGAGGCATGTAGAGGAAGCATTGGAGGACCGGGCAAGCTCCAAAAAGCATAAAATTGAAACAGAGCGAGTGGATCAAAATAAGAAAAAGGTCAAGAAACTGAAGAAGACTTTAAATGAGTCACCAGAAGAAAAAAAAGATGAAGGCAGAAGTTCAGATTTTGAATATGGGGTAAATATTACTTGATTCTATTACAGAACAACATATGCTTAGTACTCATTATTTATTGCCCAACTTGCCCTACCAATTAGTCCAAAAATAGCATAGGAGTTATGTCACATATTTTTATACTTCCTATTACTATGTTCAAACTAGCTAGTATGCAGATATATGACGTTCTATGATTTGTAAATCCCTCAAGGAGTCTAAAACTTATTTTCTATCTCATGATGATTAAATTGCTTATCAGATGCAGGTCACTTCAACTTGATATTCGTTTTTAGTTTCCCATGTTATGAAATGATAGTGGTTGACATAGTTCCTGATATATGCATGTGTAGCTTATCCTAATTTGTGAAACTATGTTACTTGAAGAAATTGATTGAAGCATATTTTTAGTCTAAATATGTTTTTTGAGTAATTAGAGAAGAGTGGCTAATTAGAGTGCTTTACGAAAAATCTATGCATCCCAAAAGGCTAATCAAACTATTACAACAACAACATCAACAATAAAGCCTTTATCCCACTTCATGGGGTCAACCCTAATTAGGACAGTGGATGGCCGATGCTTTATGTTACCAAACCATCTAATGTGACTCTCACTAATCTTATCTGCCATTGGATCCACTCTAACCTTTTAAGTGTAAAGTCACTCATACACTTAAGCATCCTCATCTCTGCAACACTTAACTTAATTTTATGCTTCTCTTTTAATGACTAATTGAGCTATTAGTACATAAAAAGCTAGTATTAAGGAATGCCAAATTTTATTGATTTATTTCTCTAGCTTGCTTTGGTCTTCTCTCAATAATAAAGATAAAGAATATTGAGAAAAGGCCATGTCAAGCATTACTAGAGATTCTCTATCCACACCAGCTAACCAAAATACTCGACACAAACTCTAAAATGATCGGAATAGCATAACATAGTGTTAGGGGAGCTCCTACTTGAACAATTTTTATATAGGAATTCTATAATAGCATTTTGAAGAAGGAACAATGAATGAATGTTATAAAAGTGATGAACAGACGTCCAAGAACCAATTACTCCAAAGTAATTAACCTGATAATATTTTAAAATATGAAGTATGACTTTAGAAGTTTGTATTAACTATCAAACTGAAGTGGTTGGGGATTGAACGAGAATCTTTATTTTTTAGTTGCAACTGATGAGTTGTGGGAGGAAATTATTCATGTATCTCTTCCTCTGATTAGTAGCTTAAATGCAAGAAATAATAGTTTCCTAGTACTAATTAAAAATTTTGAATAATAGGAGAAGCGCAAGGTGGGCTGTTTTCACAAATACCCATTCCATCAACATTAAATATTTGAAAAGACATGTCTTAAGAACGTTGCAATTGAGATAAGGCCGCGTTCCACTTGGATGTCACGACCTACGAACAACATCGAAGAGGATGGAGTTCCAAATACTGTAGATGATTTCATGTCGGTCCATGGTGTTAGCTTTGCAGATGAGTGCAACGTTATTATCACTCTACTTGATGCCGAATTCGATGTGGTATTAGAGAAATCACTAGATTCATGTCTTATGGTAGGCTCCAAAAGGTCTAGTGATGATACTGTGTATACGAAGAGACGTACTAAGGAGAAAGGAGATAAAGAAACATTGAATAAAGCTGAATGAAGTGATCCTTACACAATAACAAAATGCTTGGTAAAACTAGGCAACATCAAGAATATCACTCATGTAATCCTTGCATTTCATGACTCACTAAAGAAAAATAGACAACAAGGCCACCCTATAGACATGGGATGATGAACTTCTTAAAAATTGGATCGAGTAGTTGTAATATGTCACCCACATTTCTATGCATCGCCAATGTGGCTGTAATAATCTTATATGTAGTTCTTATTTCATCACATGTGTTCTGTCATTTTCCAATGCACTTTTATGTTTATTTCATCATCTGTTGTATTTCTTTACTTGTGTTTATTTCACTTAGGAAAAATAAAAAAGATTTGGAATGGCTTGGCATCACTTACTATTGAATAGCTTATTTTATTTCATTTAATCTCATGCAATCATGGCTAATTACTTAGGTGGGGTACTTTCTGATTCTCTTTGTGGCATGGTTGATTTGTAATTATAAATAAATGAAATAATTTCTGAATTTACTCCATACATCTTGGAAGATAGTAGCTCTTCCGGGGAGGAACTGCAAATAAGACGACCTATAATGGATAGGTTATACACGGGTCATCAATATGTGGAGGATGTGTTAGTTGGTCATCTAGTGAGACCTTATCAATGTCTTAGGTTGTCAGTTGAGTCTTTTGTTTGTCTGAGGGATCTACTTTGCTAGTTGTGACTTTTTAAATGACATATAGAAATATGATCGCAAGTCGCAGTAGAATAACTTGGCATTATTTTTTTAGAGGAGTCCATACTCATAGCTATAAATAAATATATGAGTTTTTCTAACATTCACTAGAAATTATAAGTAGATAATTCAATCAGGTACTACATGCTATTGTCTCGTTATCAGATGAGTTTGTTAATTTACTGTCGTAAAATGCATGATGTCATCCTTTTATAGGTTTAAATGTGCAATTTTACTTTTGCTACAAAAATATAGTGGGTGCCATAAAAGGTACGCATGTTCTTTCAATAGTCTGTAGTAATCTACAAAATCGATGTTGTAGTTGAAATGGGTTTATATCTTAAAATGTAATGGCAGAGGTGTCATTTGATCGACAATTAGTCTATGTTGCCTTTAGGTGGGTGGATTTTGATGCGGATATGCATGTGCTTAAATGGGCAGTGGAGGAGAAAAAATTTGAAGTATCCCATGGTAGTTATTATTTGGTTGACTCTGGTTATGCTTACACTGATATAATCATTGCACTATTTTGGGGATATCGATATCACCCGAGTGATTATCGTGGAAATATTTCTAGAAGATATATTGTTGTGCAAGGGTTATATAATCACCGGCATATTGCGCAACATAGTTCAAAGAACTTTTAGGATTTTGAAGGAATGATTTCTTGTGTTAATTCACATGCGAAAATTTTCTTTTAGTGTTCAATTTGATATCACGCTTGCATGTGCAGTTTTGCACAATTTCATAAGTCGGTACCATCGACAAGATCTATATTTCAATATGTGACAAGCGGAAATGCAACATGATAGTCAATACAATGAGGTTGAAATCTCTGATAAGGATCCCAATATAAATGTAACAATAGGAGAAAGAATTAAAGGGGAAGCGACAAAACATACTATCGCCATGAATTTGTGGGATGCTTGGGTAAGAATTTTGACTGCAACAGTAAGAATACAATTTAAATTTAAAATTTAATTATTTAATTATTTTTATTTTAGAGGTTGAGTCAAAGACGCCGCTCATCATTATTAATTTACTATGAACTACAAGATATATCATATCGTCTTCAACATGCAAGCATATGTAGTCATTTATTCTCCACTACTACTTAGTCTATGTGTTCATCATTATTAAAGTATTATGTACTATTTGTTGATTTTATCATTTTTGTTATACAAATTTATGTTGGATTTATAATTTGGTTATTGATGTAATCCATTGATATAATGTAAAAAAAATTAGTTCTTATGCATGCATTAAAAATAAAGGAAAAAAAAAAGAAAAAAATATCCGTTTGAAATCTTGAGATGTGTCGACTGACAATTTGTCATAATTTAATATTTGTCATGCCAAACAATTTTCAAGTTTTAATACCCTTAGGATTTAGTAAATCCGGATTTACATGATTTACTAAATCTTACTTGTTGCCAAACAACCCTGTAGTCTTTCTTATTGTTCTGTAGTGTAACTTCATTTTCGCTCAGAAATCTTGCCAAGGAATATGACACCTTCATATGCAATATCAGAATCATTAGACTTCGTTTGGTACGGATGTGTTTTGTTGCGTTAAGCCACAAATAAACTACTTGCTTTTATGCAGTTTGCAGAAACTCCTATTACGATTCCACTAACGAAGGCCGCAGCAAAAGGTTTATTTATTTATTTATATATTTCTTTTGTTCTTTTTGTGTGATTTGGTTTTGTTTAGATCATTGAATGATTCCATTTTGTTATGTTTTTAGGTAAGAGGGGAACAGAGGAGGCAACAAAGAAACAGGCAAGCTCAAAAATCCAGATATTAGAATTAGAGAAGGTGGGTCTGAGTAAAAAAATGGTCAAGAAACTAAAGAAGACTTTGATTGAGTGCCCAACGAAAAAGAATGATGAAACATGGTGTTCTGATTTTGGAGTGGAGGTAAATTTTATGTTTTTCAAAGCTTAGATGATTATAGCAATCCATGTTTTCATAAATAAATTTTTTTTCATTTAATGTTATATTTCTGCCTCTTTCACCAAAAATACAGTGATGTTATGCTATTTTGAGGTGTTTGAAATTGGTTATGAATGTCCATTGCTACTATGCAAGCGATTCATTAAAATAAATGATGGGGACATCGGAGCTTGGAAAGTTTATCAGAGACGTGGCAGCAGATCTACGGCCATGATCATGCCAATATATTTTAAGTCTTCATATGTATTTGTTTTTATTTATGCGTGTTTGTATTTGCTTTAGTTGTTTTCCCTTTTTACCCCTTACATAAGGGTGGTCATGTGTAAGCCCAAAGGGCAAAGTCGTCTTTTATTTTTCGTCAATTATATGAGGCTATATATAGCCCTTATATTCTCTTATGAAGGTTAAGGAATGAATGATTAAATTTTTTACTTTTTGAATTCTTGTGAGAGCTTGAGAGAAGTTGGAGAGAAACCTCTTAGAGAGGGAATCAGATCACCCACCAATCTTGGAAGAGTTTGGGTTCGCGGTTAGTTTATCTTTTCTTTTCTAATCTTCCTCTAATCCACGACTCATCTAGCCTCAACCGCCGGATCCCCAAATCTTTTTCCCTTCCACACCCGTCGGTTTCATCCCACCACCACCATCCCAATCAACTTCATCTCCCTACCTAGCCGCTGGCCCCCTCACCCAAACCCCCTAGTCCAAGCCGCCGTCCCCCCCTTTGGTTTTCCCTCCATCATCACTTGCCTTTAAACCCTTCATAAATTAGCTCCTCATATTTTAGGTATCTCAATTAATTGGCAAATTCAAATCTATTTGAATTTGAAATTATTACCTAAAAATGGCTAAAATACAAATCCTATTTTAGGAAAGTTTCCAAACCCTACCCTATTTAAATTTTAAATTAAATTGGAATGACATATCTCTTTCCAAATTTAATATCCTAAATCAAGAAAGCATTAAATGTTTTCCTAAACCTCTCCTCTCTCTCCCTATGCTGTCGGCCCCATCAAATTCCCTTTGGAATTATTTCCAAAAGTCAAGTTGCTCTCTTGGAAATAATTCAAGCCATCCCCCTCTCTCTTGGCCGAAATTCCCAAGGCCCCACCTCCTTTACTTCTTTCCAAAATCGCACCTCTTTTTCTTTTGGAATTAAATTCCAAGCCTCCTCTACTCCACGAGAAATTTTTGTTTACGCAATCCGAACGCAGAGTAAGGTTCGGATGCTGCGTATTTACTGCTTATTTTACTGCGAATTTTTTGATACATAATTTTTCTATGTATTTTTTGCGTATTTATTGTGTATTTAGTGAGTATTATTTGTTTGCTACTTATTTGCCACGAAAAAATTATGTATCAAAAAATACGCAGTAAAATAAGCAGTAAATACGCAGCATCCGAACCTTATTCTGCGTTCGGATTGCGTACAGAATAATTTCTCCTACTCCACCCACCCCCTCCATGCTTTCATACCTCCTTTAAATTCTTTCCAACTCAAGAGACTTTGATCTGGAAATTAATTTCGGCCTTTCCCTCCAAAATCCTCTCTTAAATTCAACTCTAACTCCACCAAAAATCTGAACTTACTTGTCCTAAACCTCCTTCATTAGGCTGGCCGCTTCCCTCCCTAGTCTCCACCTCAATCCGCGAAAGAAACAAGAGTCCTTAAGGGAAGCCAAGACCTTCATCCACAATACTACAACTAAGGAATCGATGAATGGCCGATCCCGATCTTGATTCCAGATTCGTTTACAATGAGCAAGGGAACGTCGACATTCTCCGGTCAACATTCGACGTCAATCTGGAAGTTGACAACTCTGTCGAAGAATATTTAGATCACATCATCTTCACAATATCCGAACCAATCGAAGAACAGCTTGCCAACGTTCAATGGCAAATTGTTTCCGGTCCTCAAGTGTGAACTTATTCCCCTCTTCATTTATCTTCTAAATCCTCTGATCTTTTAGGTGGTGATTCAAGCACAAGGATTCGTGCCAAGCTCTCTGCATTCGCTTAGTAAACGTAGGATTTTGAGTTCTTGATTTTCTATATTCTAATCTCAATGTTAACTTAGAGATTTTATTGAATAACTACTTAATTGACATTCTGTTGAAATTCTAAATTACTTTAGTGATTCTAGTTCTAAGCATGTGATTTGGCCTAAGCGTAGACACCCCTCTTTAGTTTTTTTTCATCGTTTCGTTGCTAACGTTTATCATTATTAATTGCTTTTATTCACAACGTGCAAGTTCTTATCGCATTCATCTTTACATGCTTAGTCCTGCATCAATAAATTCCAGGATTTTTTACTTCCATAGCTTGTTAGTCACTTTGTTGCAGCCGTTCTTCTGGTTCAGTGGGCCAACTTCATTTTCGTTTTCATATCTTCCTATGGAACTTGACATCTTCATAATCCAACTTACAATTTTTAGAATTTGTTTGATAATGTTGCGTTGTGTTGTGCTATGCCATGCGAACAATGTTCATGCTTCTCTTATAGGGATGTACAAGCTTATCTGCATGATTGGAGGTGGTGCATGTGCTTGGTATGCAGTTTGTAGTATGCTTCCCAGATATGACTAGGCTGGCATGAGTATAACAAATTTTGGAAAATAAAGGATGCTGCAGGATAATTCTTGAGAAGCATAGGACTTGGACACAATATTTCTTGAATAACATAGAACATGAAAAAAATATCAAAATGGTCCCTTAACTTTTTATGGACCAAAATAATCCTCAACTATATTAAATGACTATTTTGGTCACTCAAGTCTTTAAAAATAAATCCAATTAGTCTCATTGTGGGACTATTTTGATTCCTCTTTAAGGAGTTAAGGGATCCAAATAGTCCTTTAATATAATTGCAGACTATTTTAGTATATCATAAAGAGTCAAAGGATCATTTTGATCCTTTTCTCTATAGAGCATGCACATTGACTCCTATATATAATAATCAATCCATGGACAACAAATCAAGTACAACAAAAGATAGGAATAAAGTTTCAGTTCTTATAGTATCCACTTATAGATTCACGAATTTCAAATATTAAAAGGAATTTAACATAGACTATAATTACTGTATTCGCAAGCGGAAATACTCAGGCAAAACTCAAAATATGGGAAATATGTGCCAATGACTGGTAGCATATGTGGTCTCATTTTTTTCGTCCCAAAGAGAAAGTACGGTTTTGAAATTCCTAAAAAAACCCTAAGAGAAGCTATATTAGTGGCAATGTCCAATGCTGTTGTGGCTTTCCCTTTTTTTGTTTTTCTTTTATTATTTGCCTGCTGAGACTGAATATGCCTACTAACATTCCTGTCGTGACTTCCCCCAATAAGCATCCTGAGTTAGGCATTAGCTCATCTGACAGTGAATTGGATGTGGAAGATTGGGTGACCATGACCAATTCTTGTATGAATACTGATTTACTTGCTTTTGGTTTCAAATATGAACTTTGAATTTCATTTTTGTTCTTCATTTGCAGAAGTCTGGTGCACCCAAAACCAAGCCTGTTAGTGCTTCTAAGAAGAAGCCAGAGTTGAATGATGGCTCTTCCAAGAGTGATTCTGATGAGGAAGTTGGGGTAAACATCAGCTCTTCAGTTAAATATATACTGATATAGGGAGATGCATCTTATGTTCTGTGGCATTAATCTAAAAAATACTTTTTTCGTGCAGAAACCTGTTAAGTCCAATGACAAAGCTGCTATAGCTGTCTCTAAAAAGAAGGGAGACTCCAGTGATAGTTCTTCAGAGAGCGACTCTGGTGAGGAAGTTGAGGTGAACTTTCCAATGCGTTCCATTTTTTGAATGAATACTCTTTGCAGTAAGGCATAAGGCCTAAAGAAGTGCATGGCAGTTGCTTTAGTTCTGCCCTTTTTTGTTTTGAATGGGAAGGATTGTTTTCAAGCAGAAACCTCTTGCAATCCTTCCAAAGAGAATTTAAAAGCATATTGTTTCTTCAAGAATTTGCCTCAGAATTAGGAAAAAAAATTGTGTGAGGATATCTTGATGCAAAAAGCATCAGAATGAGCTTCATATCCCTTAGATTTGTAATAAGATTTGTATAATTCAAGATATTATATACAATACTACTTATGAGCACAAATCAAGGGTGAACTTATCTTCTCTTCTGAGGGTGAACAAGTTTATTATGATAATAAATTAATATAAAAAAAGAATGAAATGTATGATGTATACATCCTTCCAAGGAGAATTTAGAGGCATATTGTTTCTTCAAGAATTGGCCTCCTAAGGATTACCAAAAAAAATTGTTTGAGGATATCTTGGAGCAATAAGCATAAGAACGGGCTTCATAGCTTTTAGATTTGTACTAAGATTAGTATAATTCAGAATATCATGTACAACACTAATTATTAGCAGAAATCATTGGCGACCCTATTATCTGTTTTGAGGGTGGACAAGCTTATTATTCTAATAAGTTAATATAATCAAAAGATTGAAATTTTAAATGTTTAATTCAAAACAAAGTCATGTATTTCACAAATTATATTATGATTGATGAATTGAACAAATGATTATAGGATTCCAAGCCCAATTTGTAATTTTTGATAATGATGCATAATAACTTTATTGAGAAGTAAACAAAACACTTCTTTCTCAATGTAAGTTATTAGACAATTGTTGCAACTCATCTCCTATTCTACTATGCAATTAATGCTTGACAATCCTCATCATAGAAAATGCTATCTCTATTGTAATAATAGCAACCAGTAAAGTTATTGTCATAGCAACAAGCTTGTATACTAGAGAATACATACCATCTTTACTTTTGCCATTTTTTTGCAAGTTCAACAATTCCACTTAAAGATGAGAACCCATCATTAGGGAGCATATCAATAATTTAAGTAGAAAATTGATGCTTAAGATTCATAAGCTCAACTATGAAAAAATCAAATGAACATAACTCTACAAGGTGACCTAGTTTCCCTTTGTTGAAAGCAAAAAATGAATCAATGGGTTTTAAGAATGCCCTAGAATGAAGATTTGAAATTCCTTAAGTAGAATAAGGCTAAATTCTTAAGCATTGAGACGCCTTTTGGTGTAATGGAATACAATTCTAAAGTTATGCATGTTCATATGGGAGCAATCCTAGGATGGGTGAACTAGAAGGCATGCTGATAGATAGATGTGTCTAGGGGTGTAAATGAGCCGAGCCAACTCGAGCTTGGCTCGTTAACAAGCTCGCGAGCTTAGCTTATTGAGCCTCGAGCTCGTGCTCGAGTTTAAACTCGAGTTTGTTTATTAATGAGCTCGAGCTGGAGCTTAATGATGCTTGGCTTGTGAGCTCGCAAGCCGGCTTGTAAGTAGTTAATTATTTAATAAAATTTTATATATTAAAATAATATCCAACATTTATTATATATTAATATAATATTATATTGTAAAACTCGCAACTGTACATATTTTAAAAATAAATCTTAAATAACTATTACATTTTTATTTTTTAAAGAGAAAGCTGCAGCAAAATTTATTATCTTTTAACTTTAAACAACTATTACTTTAAATAGCTATTAAAGCAGGTCTCTTTTTGAAACAAAGGTCACTATCCTTCTTTTCCTCTTTTTTTTTTCCCGAGTTTTCTTCTCTAGCAACCACGAATAGCCTTTCCGATCTTCATTATTCTCCACCGCCGTCACTTCCTTGTGAAGACAAGGCAAAATCTTCTACCTGGATTCCATCTCGAGCCGAGCTCTCGAGACTGAGAGAAAATGGATGAGTTGAGCTCGAGCTCATTCTTTAGGCTCGACATGAGCTTTCTTTTGAGAGACAAGTCTAGCTCGAGTTTGCTACTTCTCGAGCTCGACTCGACTCGTTTACACCCATAAATGTGACTGCACTTTCAAAACTAGCACATTTGGTGCAAAATTATCTGGTATAAGTGAATGTGATGCCCTAGATTCAAACTGGTTTCTTAAGAATATAAATGATTCTTATCACCACATTGGGAGATTCGTGAGCCTCTTGCTGCATCATAGCGAACACACAAGGTGAAATCACACGTTTGGACTATACCTGAGGTGGGTTTGTGATGGTTAATACTACACCATTGGTTGTTGCTGTTGATGTAGCATTGGAAGATGCTGTTGTTGGTATTGTAATGCAGGCAAGTACTCTTGATATGGTTGAGGTGCCAGAAATTGTTGTTGCCGATGATGCTTAAGTTAATAATGTCTTGTCTATCTTTTGTTATTTTGCTTGTAATTGACCTCCTTGCTAATCTTGCCAACTATTTCTATGTTGATATATGATGTTATTATCTCATAATACTATCAAAGTGGACTACTCGTGCGTGTTGAGTTGGCAATCCATAATATTGTGATTAGTACTGTAGCAGTTGAAGCACTTTCCAACAATTAAATTGCATTGCCTAGAGTGCCTTTTACCATAATGGGGATGATGAGAATTGCTCTTTAAGATATCTTTAATGATTTTTATGCTAGTTTTTCTTTGAGTCTCCCTGTGCCTAAATGTATGTGCTCCTTCGTTTTCCCACTATTTTATCTTCACAAGCATTGATTTTTATTTATGCGTGTATAGCCTGGCCCACCAACTTGCATTTGACAACAGATAAGCATTTTCAAATATCCTCTCTTAGTCTAAAAAGAATTTTAGATTTTTTGACATTTGTGCCGACTAATAGAAGGAACAAATGTGAATCCTGATAATATGGGTCTTATATTCTCGAACATTTTTCATCCCTTGCTCTAATTTCCTTAAGTTGTTCATTAATTGGCTCATTCTGTCTTGGGAAGTACCAGTTTAGAAATAATCGCTTGAACCCTTCCCATAAAATCGCTATATCCCATCCAAAACTATTGCATTAGTGGCTCTCACACTAATCATAAACACATTCTCGTAACTGGAAAGTAACCATACCCACCTTGCGCTCTGCGGTTCAATTAATATTTTGAAGTCTCTTCTTAGTATTATGAAATCATGTATCCTATCCAATGGCCCCATTGCCCCATTGCCCCATTGAAAGTAGATTGATGACTTTCAGAACTTTATCTTTTACTCGATTTATCATCCCTCCATTAGCTTGGAAAATCCGTAGCATTTCAATTTTGACATTTGTATGAACAACTAAGTCAACTAATGTCACTTGAGTTATTTGAGCTTTTAATATTGATTGATTTGCCTGAATTTTAGTAAAAACTGGTGCGCTTATGACTTCTTATTGTATAGTTGAGTTGGTTGTGGTGCCGGCTGAGCTGGTTGAAATGCTAGCTGAGTTGTTTTCTGGATTGTTTGTTGTTGAGCACGACACATTGATCTTCATCGTGACAAGGGCAACAATGTTAGGAGTTGGGTTAGTAATATTAATGATTATACGAACATTGGCTTCTAAGAATGTGTATAGCTTTTTCTGTAGCTCTAGAGCCATCAGTTGTGAAAACTCTGGTAGCACCTCTTATTCTTGGTGCCATTATGAATAAATAAACACAACAAATTAAAATAAAATAAATTAACATATATATAATTATCAAGAATAACCAAAATTATCCCACAATCCAGTTTAAATAGAACAATAGATATTAAATACAAAATATATGTCTTTGATACCACTCTGTCTCACTCCAGGTTCGGAAGGTGATATATCCTAGTAATATGAGATGTTATGAAGAGATATGAAATCTGTTTTGTGCTCACAAAGTTCAATTTATATACTAATGGTATAAACAAAGCATATAAGAGTGAGCAACATGAATTAAACTAATATTTTGTTACATTTACATAAGTCATTATGGAAGTACATGAATGAAGTATGAACAATAACAAATGAAAATAAAATTGAAAGAAATAATTATATAAAGAACTTATTTAAAACTAAAGGAAATACAAATAAGCTACTACAAAACTTAAAATACCAAATGAGTTCCTCTACTGATAAGTTTGCTTCTGTGGTCATGGTCTACCAAACACTCTGATGGAATCTGCTATAAGAAATGTTAATAACAAGTGAGTTTGAGAGTTCATACCAAACAAGTAATTACTATATAGTAAAATATAAATGACAAAGTACCGAGGCATGCAGCATGAATAATAAAAGAAGCATGAGTGACTATGTTCTTGTAGTGTAATCAAGTTATTATGTTAGAATTTTATTACATTGCATAAATGAATTGCATCACATATTATAAGTTGGTTTTCAGGTGATCTATAATGTTGTTTTGTTCATCGTTATTTGTATGTAAACTTTAAGTAATGCATTTTAGGTTTACATTCATATGTCATCACATCATGTATTTTCATATACATCTATATATGATTCAACAGTCATTTATTTTTAACTGATCATATTTGTATATATATGTATGCACCGATCCTATGAAAATCCTATAAAAAATTAATGATTTCATTGAGGACCCGTCAATCAGTCAATCCAATCCAATAACACAGGGCTTAATGCGGACATAAATATCACAGCACAAAAGGCATACAATCTATTCATGTTTTATAAGCAAGTTTTCAACTTGTATTCCATACGCAACATGACAATTATTTATTTCCTAATCAAATATGATTTGTAGACATGACATTTATCATATTCAACAAGAGTAACATGTATTCAAATTAGATCTTATTTTTATAGGAAATCACCATGATATAGAAGTTTGTGCAGTAATAACTGAAGGCAAACTATCTCTATCACATTATATTTCCATTATGAGCATTAACAAGCTCTACTAAAATATTTGGATTGGTAATTTAAATATTGAAAATAGGATTGACAACCGACAATATCTACTAACCTAATTCAAATAACAATGATAATGGTCATAATAAGGAAGTGTATATGTATCCGTCAATAAATAATAATTAGTTTCTTCAATACAAATGATACGAGATTTTGAATTTAATTGAAATTCAACTAATTCATACTGGATAAAAAAACAATTCAAAGGCTCTACGCAATATAAACTCCATTCAATTAATTATTGATACGCAAATGATAACATTAAAAGTTAATAAATTATCAAAATATGTGCAACATAATTACGGAGATTTTCTCACAATCAAGCTTAATTAAATATTTTTATTGTAAGGATTCAATCTATTTTATGAATTAAATCATTATTTTCTCAAATATATTATCATACACTTATATAACACCTAGGCTAACTAAAAAGTACAACTTAATCCATACAAAGTACCTAAAGTTAAGCTGGAATAATTATGATATTCAAGGAATGAAACCAATAAAATAAAATCATAAATTTAATGTTAGCATTAACAGACCGCAAATAAAAAAATGGGTTATCACAAGCTCTCCTACTTTTGATGATGGTGAAGCAAATGAGTCATACGAAGAGGAGAGTGCTCGCTTCAAGAGTGATACTGAAAGCTTGCGGTTGTCTTACTATTGAAGGAAGAAGAAGAGTAAGAAAATGGGGAGGAAGCTTTCCATTGTTCAATTGAAGGACGGAGGTGGCATAGTTGGCAGATGCTTCCCTTTTTTCAAATTTCTTGATCAAAACAGAAAAGAGTAAGAGGAGACAGGCGTACACACAGATGGGGTTTGGCAGCTGTGATGGGGTAAGGATGTAATGCTCTAGCTTTTGATTTCCTTCTTAAATCGGGAATTGAGCCTTTTGATTTTCTCCTTAAATTGGGAGTTGAGAGGCAGGGAAGGAGTGAGATTTTTGGGTTGATTTGAGTAGAGGTAAAACGAGCAGCTCATGCAAGGGAGAGGATGAAATCATGAAGTGTTGTATCACATGGAGCTAATTAAGAGAAGGGAGATCCAATTGCAAGATCTTCGTCTAGGACTTTATTAGAACAAAAACTCAAGAATTATTATTATCTTTATGTGAATTTATTGTTTCATATATAGTAGTAGAAGTGCCTTTGTAAGTATTATTGTATTTATGTGTTACAATAGGCCATTTTAAGTTGTGTTGTGTTAATCATTTTAGTTAGCCCAATTAAATGTCTAATTTGGAGTGGAGTAGCGGCCTATGCGTGGGATTAGTGGCCAAGTATGCAAAAGTGGGAGGAATGGTGGTGATTACAAGGTGGTTACACTTAGTGGCTGCCCCCCCTCGCCATATATCTTTAATTTTAAAATTGTCCTCTTATGTTATATTGTAAACAGTGGAATGAAGAAGCTATTGATGTTGTATGATTGAAATTGTAGGAAAAATCCTTTGGTTGGAACTCGACGGTGGCCAAACTAGAAAGAGTTTAGTGATCCTCACTAGGACTACTACTTTGATGATTAGTTGAGTTTTATTTATGTTTTAATTTCTACAATTTTCTTTTGTGTTGTGTTTATACCACCATCTCCCACTCTAGAAAAATATAAACCTAATTTTCCTAGCAATCAAACTTATTCATTTAAGCCTTTTGTGTGAATCGACCAAACTAGATCAAAACTAACCTAGCTATAATTTGCCTTCATTTGCATAACTTAAACTCCTTTGAAAATACCAAAAGCTCCATATACATATTAGACATCGCAAACTTTGATTTTCATATATTTATTAGGGTTGTTATTCACTAAAAAATCCAAAGATCTTGAAGCCCCAAGTCAAATTCAGCCTGTAGCTAGAGAGGGAAATTCTCAGGTTAGCCTTGGCAAGAATTCAGGGAAAATATCAAAACTCCACCAAAATTCACAAAAATTCATCAAATTCTCTGGATCCTAACTCAACACATTTTCTCTTCTATTTGATTTTTATTGAGAGGAAGTTGTAGTGGGTAGAACCAAGGGCTCTAAGATCTTGGCTAGTTGCTAGAATTGGGTTGGCCTCCACTAACACCTTCCTAAACCTATTTCCACCCAAGATTAAACTCCTCCAAACTTATCCTTACTCATCTAGGCATCATAGGAGAGCCCCCATCCACCAATTTGATCACATTAATGATCTAAGCCCACAACAACAGCAACCATTCATCACCACTAAGGCTCGGGTTAGGATTTGCATCAAGATGTCATAGAGTTGGTTGTCCAGCTTGTGTTGCTCATGTGGCTTAGTATAGGGTTTATAGCCTGATTCAGGATATTATAAATGCCCCTCTTTAGACTTTGAAATTGAGCTAATTTAAACAAATCCTTATAACCTCTAGCACTTATTTAAAACATTATTTTGATCTTCTAACTACTTCTAGTCTATAACATGCATTTATATCATATCATCATATCATATGATAGAAGTGCATTTAAGTGTTATTTTTCTTGCTACATGTGTTTTTAACTTGATATGACTGTGTAATCACAATAAATAGTAAATAGGAAAATGATTAAAATGGTCCCTTAACTCTTTATGAATGACCAAAATGATTCCTAACTATATTAAATGATCATTTTGGTCTCTCAAGTCTTTAAAAATAACCAAAATAATCTTATGGTGGGATTAGTTTAATTCCTCTTTAAAGAGTTGAAAGATTAAAATGGTCCTTTAATATAGTTGGAGACCATTTTGATCTTTCATAAAGAGTCAAGGAATAATTTTGATCTTCATAAAGAGTCAAGAGACAATTTTGTTCCTTTTGTCAATAATAAATTAAACACTTTTGCATCAATATCTATTTATCTCATTTTGTATTTTGCTGAATAAGCTATTAACCATGCCTTACCGAAGTTCCATGCTGGGGCTTGTGCAATAAGCTGAAATGAATTTTTTTATTTTCATTTCGTGGAGCTTGATTTCAATCCTCTAACTTTTCAGGAGACAGGTAACAAAAGGATGGACCTTTTGCCCGATAATGCTAAAATCAAAGATGCTCCTAAAATATCTGAAAAAGAGGTAACTCAGTCTTGCTTTGTCTTCAATTTTTCCCTCAATTATGGATGCGATATGCTTATACGTGTTACATTATAAATGTAGCCTGAAACTCCTGCCAAGCGAAATGAGGAATCTGGCACAAAGAGACTGTTTGTTGGAAATTTGCCATCTGAAGTTACAAAAGATGATCTGTATGGTTCTTGGCCTAGTTACTCTCTCTTCATCCTTAATGCTTTCCCCTTCGTTCATTCCCATTCATCTATATTTGCCCCTCTCTTTTCTGCACTCTATCTTGACTTCCCTTGCCCACCAGCACCAACGTGACCGGCCCATGCAATCCAATGCATCCACCCACCCACACTTGTGCGTGCGCTCGGGCACCAACTAATATCAAAAAGAAAAAAAAAAGCAAATCTAACGTTTCCCCACTCGCCAATCTATTCTTGTCACCCTCCTTTCCTTTCAAGCAGTTTATGCTTCTCATGATTAAAAAAAATTATTAATGTAGGTTGGACTTCTTCAAAATGTCTGGGGAAGTGATGGAGATCCGGTTAGCTGCTACAGAAGATGGTAGCTTCAGGGGTTTCGGGCATGTAGAGTTTGGCACTGAAGCAGGTGCTCGAGCGGTAACAAACTGCCCTTTTCTATTGTTAATCTCATTCTTGAAGTGTACCTTGTTGGTGCAGTTTGTAATTGTGACGCATATAAATTTTCTTGATAAATTCTGGTTTGTTATATACTTGTATATGTTAGCTTAACAACATTGTTATATACTAAATGGTCATGATTTGTTTCTCATTAATTTAGGCACTTAGGATGAATGGCTACATACTTCTTGGTCGCCCTGTGATCATTGATTTGGCTCGTAAAAGGGGTTCCTATAACCCCCAAGATGGGTATTTTTCTTCTTCGACTCTTTGTAGTATCTTATTTCCAATGGCAGTCCTGCCTGCATCCTATATGCAGGACTGTGTTGCTGTTTGAGTTATAGCTAGCTTAAATATCTGGAGGAAATGTTCATGTTACTGTGCCCATGACCACTAAAAAGCATGCCTAGAATGCTTTAAGACTTTCTATAGGTTAATGGAGCAATACAAAATTTATATTGATTTTGCTGCAAATTATAGGAAGGAAAATGCTTCTAACAGAATAGGCGCGCAAGATCTAGGTCAAGATCCAGGTCACACGGTTTTTGTTAAAGGCTTTGCCAAATCACTTAAAGAAGATCAGGTGTGTACTCGCTTCATTAAGATTGTAGGAAAGTTAATTTCATAGAGTAAGATTGTAGGAAGGTTAATTTCATAGTAGTCCTTTTACACTTGCATCAATGGCAGATTCGAAGCTCCTTGATGGAACATTTTGGATCGTATGGCAAGATTTTACGCGTTTCTATTCCACAGGACAATATGACCGGTCGTTCTAAAGGGTTAGATGTTTTGCAATGTTGTATTAAGAGATATTGTTTCAAATTTCTTGCATGTTTTTCTGCTACAATGTTAGTTACTCTTCTTTGCTAAGCTTCTATTTATATGCTTCTCAGTTTACTACATACTTTAATGTGTAAAGGCTACCCCATGAAATTGAATCAGTTTCGTGAAGAATAACTGCCATAATTTTTTTTGGTTTCAGGTTTGCATACTTGTTGTTCAATGACCAAGCCAGTGTTTCCAAGGCTCTTGAGCTCAGTGGTACTAAACTTGGGGGCTATACCTTGACTGTTCAAGAACCAGCACCTAAGAGTGGTTCCGGTGATGGTTCATTTAGTGGGGGAAGAGGCCGGGGAGGAAGGTCAGCTGGTCGCGGTGGGGGTCATGATGATGGTGGCAGGGGACATGGCATAGGTGGAAGGGGATCAGGAGCTTCTTATAACAAAAATGCTACCACACCTAGCGAAGGTCTGCCTTCTTATCTTTGAAACTTGGTTTCTGTTTGGGGATTCATATGAATTACATGACTTCTTTTTCTTGCTTGTATGGAATAGAACGTTTGAGTAGAGACTGACCTGTCACATCTGAGTCTGAAAGATGGTACATCTTGACTCCACGGTACAACAACAACAACAACATCAAATCTTTATTCCACTACCTTAGGTTGGCTACATGAATCCTTTTTCTCCATTGTGTCCGATTAAGAGTCAAAATTCTCATTTATATCTAATAAAAAGATGCCACTTCTAATATTTTCTAACCAAATCTTTTTAAGTCTACCTCTACATTTCTTAACATAGGTTAAATCTAATACATCTACTCTCCTAATTGGGCCATCAGAAGGCCACTGTTTTATGTGATCAAACCATCTAAGGAGATTTTCAAATCTTATCTGCCAATAGAGCTACTCCAACCTTTTCACGTATATGCTCATTTCGTGTCCTATCTCCAAGAGTAGAGCCTCTGCAACACTTAACTTAATATTATGCTTCTATTTTAATGGCTAACATTCTGCGCCATAAAACATTGTAGGTCTAACCACCATCTTATAGAATTTTCCCTTAAATTTGAGTGGTACTTTTCTATCACACAACAAGACCGATGTGTTCCTCCACTTTATCCATCCAACTTGAATTCTACTAATAATATCCCCACATATTTCATCATCACTCCGAACAATAGACCCAAGATATCTAAAATGTGTACGTCTTGACTCCACGGTGTTGGGAAAAAATATAATTTTCTTATATAGAAGCATCTATGAGGAACAAATAGGATGAACATAAATCAAACTAATAAAATCCACCAAGATTTATATGATAAATCGATCAAGGTAAATAAAAGGCACTAAGATATATATAGTTTTATCAAAATATATTTGTACATAATTATGAGAGAGGAAGAACTGTTTCGCTATTAACTATGGTTTTGAAAATCAGACCGAACATTAAATCGGAAAAAAGAGATGTTAAAGGTTCAATGGTTTGACTGGGGTTGAACCCGATGATGTAACAAATATTAAAATTATTTAAATACTATCTAAATGAAATAATAATGCTATAATAATCATGTGAAAATATAAATTTTTGACTATAAAAAAACATACATAAACAATAGTTTCTATAATTTGAAATTTAAACACATTAAATTTTAAAATTTTATTCACATTTAATATAAATTTAATTCACATGTAAATTTATAAATTTAATATAAATTATTATTAATTTATATTATGTGTTTATATATAATGTTAGGGGCGTAAACGAGCGGTTTGAGTCGAGTATGTATATAATCGAGTTGAGCTCGTTTAGCTGTCATTGAGCTCAAGCTTGAGCTCATTTATTGAACTCGAGCTTGACTAGTTTAAAATGTTTTGAGCTTGAGCTTGGCTTGATCGCTAGAGCTTGTTTAAGAAGTTCATGCTTGGCTCAAATATGGAGCTCGATTTTCTAATTTTAAAATTAAATTTTAAGTTTGATATGACACCATTGGAAGGAATTCAAATCCTGTTAAGGAGATTGATGAGAATATGAATATTAGGCATTTATTTTTAACACTTACAAACTATAGCAAGCATCTAAACTTTAAACTTAATTTAATGGCTTCCTGAATTTAAATCCTGTCAAATAAACATCCAAATCCTGTAAATAATGATATCATGAATTTATATTTAATCGGTTCCTGTCACTACAAATATAACAAACATTTAAAATTATATATTTATAATAAAAACATCTGTGTTAGACTTGGGGGTTGTGATTATCATTGCTTATGGATGAATAAAATGATTAGATAAAGAAGCTGAACCAAAAACCACTTCACTATTAGGCGCCTAAAAGAATGTTAGGTTTAGGTCAAAATAGGAAAGAAAGATCCAGCGTAGAAACATACAGTATTGAATATTGATAAAAGAAACTGATAATAATTGCATGACATAGTTTTTGGTTGTAAAATGACAAAAGGAGGAATTACTAGGGCTGCAAACGAACCGAACTTTAGCATGTTCGAGTTCAAGCTCGTTTGTCAAAATCGTGCTCAAGCTCGGCTCGAAGCTTCTTGGATAGCTGTTCGAGCTCGACCTTGTTTAAAATTCCCATGTTGGAGCTCGGCTCGTGTTTATATTTTAGCTCATTTAATTTCAAGCTTATCGAGCGTTTCGTTAAACGAGCCGAGCCGACCATAATTCACAAAATAAATTCTTTTATTAAACCCGTCTAGCCTGCAACCTAGAGAGCCCGCCCAGACCACCAGCTACCTGCTTTCCAACAAATGGCCTTTAGATGCATTTATTTTTATATAGGTAAAAATCACTTTTCTCCATGTGGTGTGAGACTAAATCCCCACAGTTTTTTTGGGTCTTTTGATGCCATGGAGGAGAGAGAGAGAGATCTAGAGGAAGGCGGGAAAATGAAAAAATGCGAAACATTTATAGAGAGGTGGGCGGGTCTGGCGGGAATTTAAAAAATAATATATAGATATAAAATAAATGAAATAAAAATATTTAATAAAATACTTCTAATTAGCTAGATTAGTAAAAATGAAAGTTTAAAATATGTCTAATCAAAACGATTAAAGTTAAAAATATTAAATTAGTAAAAATAAATTATTAATAGTATTTATTTTTTAAAATTTTAATTGAGCTCTAATCGAGCTTCTTAGCGAGTTTGTTCACGAGCTTAAACGACAGTATTCATGAACATAAATGAACCGAACGACAAGTTAATCGAGCTTGTTCATTTAGCTATCGAGTATTTATCAAGAGTGTTCAAACTTGTTTGTTTATCTTATGAAACAAATATGAAAGAGCTCATATCGAGCTGAGCCACGAGCAGCTCGTCGAATGCTCGGTTCATTTGCAGCTCTAGGAATTACTCATCATAAATAACATTTAATTGGGAATTTTAAAAATGCTAAAGCTAGTGTTAACTACCTCTACTACCTCATGTGGGCTTCGAAAATTTTGCCCCGGCCTCCCCGCTGCGCTGTTCTTTTTATTCGGCGAGGGAGTTTTAACTGAATAAGTTCCGAGGTAAATTTTGGAAGGCAGATGGGTTCGTAGATAAGACACTACCCAGAGATTTCGCCCTCATTTTGTGAGGTCTTTATGATCTGAGTTCTGGTTTCATATAGGCGCAAGCCCCTATAGTTAATTACTCCCGGTGACGAGAGAGAACTTTCGATTAAGGCTAGTCATCGATCAGATACGTAGAGATACGCGTTATCTGGCATATAGTAGCAGCATACATTTGGGATTTGGAATTTGAATATTTGGAATCTTGGAAATTTGGAAAGTTGGGAGATTTGATATTTAAAATGAAAATTTCACCATCTTGCACTTAAAGTGGATGGTGGGGGAATGGATGATAGACCCGATCAAGATCCCATGGTTCCGTCGTCCCGGGCCATCGTGGTCCTTGGTCTACTTAGTCAGAGGAGGTAGTCGACCCAACCTGACAGAAGGATCCTTGTCGGTAGCCATGGGTTGCTTCGTCCAAGGGGACCTTGTAGACTGGGGATGGATATTTGCCTAAGGGGACAAATTTGAATCCACCTTTGTGACAACCGGTTCTTCCGGCCGGTTCAACTGAACCGGCCGGCCCACCCTTTAATACCGCGAACAGATATCGGGCGGACGGTCGGGACTTCATGCGAGAGCAAGGTAGGATTCGTTTTCTTCCAATTTTAGCAAACGAATGCGATGGAGGGAGAATTTTAACAACTCCTTTTCGTTCTTATTGTTATAAAAACAAAGGTTGGAGAGAATTTGCAACGAAAGGAAGAAACGGCCGAGGAAAAATAAGGAAAAAGGTTTGTCGAAATTTTTTTCGGATTTTCCTATAAATTTCGTCTCCTACTTCATTTAAAGTGAACAATATATTTCTTGAAGGTTATGGAAGAGATTGTAGCGAAGAAAAAGGAATTTGGGAGAAAAGGGAATTTGAGAGTTTTGAGAAATTCTCATTCGTAAGTGAAATTCTTTTTATATAAGTTTATTATGGGATTATAATTTTAAGTTTTACATAAAAGTTATTGTTCGAATTTTAGGGTTTTAGAAAGTGAAAGATCAAGTTGTATGTGTTGATTCCGCAAGGATTCAACAAGAAGAGAAATTGATTCAAGAGTAGATCAAGCATCGAAGACCTGAAGAGTTCAAAGTGGGTAAATTATATTATTTTATGTTTTATTCATGTTTTCAATCTTCTAAATAATTGATTAAAATATTGTATTATAAAATGTTGAAGACAAATCCTTATGATTTTATAGTCTTAAGAAAGAATCCATCTATGATAAGCTTATGAGAAAAGAAAGGAAATAATTATAAGAATACATGTGATATATGTTATATGCAATGGTATTTATAAGGATGAAAATGAGAAAAGAAAAGAAAAGAAAATAAAGGAAAAGGGTATTGAAAAATAACAGGAGTCACCCCCTTATGGTACTGGCTGGGGACGCCGTACTCGTGTACGAAAAGGAAAAAGAAATTTCTATGGAAATGAGAAAAGGAAATCAAATGGAAAAGGTTGTACCTTTGGGTACTTTAAGACGGTGCTCCTGCGCAAATCAAATGGGAAAAGGAAATGTAAATGAAAAATTTAAGATAACATTGTTTCAAAATAGTATAACCTGATTATGACTGTGTTGAATGCAAATTTGGTGGCAAAACCACTCGGTTCAGAGGGCCCCGGGTCATAACCGTTTATCCTGCGGTGCCATTTGGCGGCGAATCGCCAGTTAGAGGACACGTACCACGTCCTTACTGGCAAGAGATTGTTTGAGAATGGATCCTAATGATATTTTCGACTAGGCATTTGACACTTTGTAAGCTGGAGTAAATTTTAATTTGTCCACCTCGACAAACTGTTACGGAGGGTTGATGGATTTTGCTTTAAGTTGGTGGATGAATTTATTTCAATTTTAAATATTTTTGGATTTTGGAATAATTTTTGAATTTTTGTGGGTATTTGAGTGGATCTTGGAAGACATTTGAAAGCATTTGAAT